TTGTAAAACATGATTTTAATTAATTATATTTGTCATAAGATGATAACATATTATATTTTTTAACACTACATTCTTTATTTAGGTCCTTTTATGAAGATTTTTCCCGAAGATAAACTTTAATATTAAAGAAAGACTCTGATAAAGCTTTGTATATCAATCATGGTTGTAGGTTGATGATATTCTTTTATTGAATTATCAAGGTTTTCTTAATGCAGCCAAACAGATTTATCCACCAAAACTCACTGGTATAAAAACACATTATCTGGTCTTAGATACGAGCTTTCTTTTCAACAAAACAAATGCTTTTAACTTTGACTTTATAAACTGTTCTTTTTTGTATAAAGTTATGTTTCTAATGAGTACTCGGCTAATTATGTTGAGTATTTTTGTGGACAAAGCTTCTAAACTAATTTTTCAGAAACAAGCTTTCTCTTATTCATTTTGTACACTAGATGTATTCGCCGTTGTAGTAAATCCATCAATATTCTTGCTTCCGATTACGAGTTTCCATGTTATACAGAATATCAAGATTCTTTGAAAATTTTCACATCTACATTTGTTGATTTCTTATAAATTGTTTATCATAATAAGAAAGCACTGTTGTGTATTGACCAGTTGTTAGTTTAACCTCTTGCTACAATTATTGCAAACTATATACATTAGTTTTTGGTAATTATGTAATTTTTCATATTTACCATTGTTACTTCTTATTTTTCTTGCTATTATTTTAAGATTTTGTTATTAATTTAACTAACTATTTTCTATCTTCATAAACGTTAGTTTCTGTACTAACTATCTGGTCATACTATCCAACTGTAGCTAAACGTGCGTCTTAGAAATTTATCTCAGATGTTAGCAAGCTACTCTTGAAGTTCCACTATTGGAATCATTTAATAGGCTTTTTTATTTGTCATAAAACATTGTTAGGGAGAGTTGCAAACTCTTTAAAGAAAATTAAATCTACAATAGTTTATGAAACAAATTTATGATTTTAAACCTCTAGAGTTTGTGTGTTCTATAAATAAGGTTATGCTCTATTGTTTCTTTCATGTTCATTTTGTTAACAATATTGGTTAGAATGTTTAATATAGTATATTATTATTATTTTCATTTCACAGCTTCCACCACCAACAACAATTGTACCCCGAGAAAAACCAGTAAGTTGTATAGATTTATATCTGTATTCATTAGCTATGAGTAAAATAATATTGTATGTATGTTAGTTTGTTCTTAATTGTACACTTTCTAGTGGAGATGGTAAAGACCTGAAAAAACAGAAAAAATAAAGTTTTCTATAAATTTTACAAATGAAATGTGGTTCTATAAAACTGCTTGACAGATCAGCTGTGATCCTTTAAACCTGCTTGATGGATCAGTTGTGGTTCTGTAAACCTGCTTGATGATGTGGTTCTGTAAACCTACTTGACAGATCAGCTGTGGTTCTACAAAACTGCTTGACAGATCAGCTGTGATCTGTAAACCTGCTTGACAGATCAGTTGTGGTTCTGTAAACCCGCATGACAGATCAGCTGTGATCCTTTAAAACTGCTTGATGATGTGGTTCTGTAAACCTGCTTGACAAATCAGCTGTGGTTCTATGAAACTGCTTGACAGATCAGTTGTGGTTCTGTAAACCTGCTTGACAGATCAGTTGTGATCCTTTAAAACTGCTTGACAGATCAGCTGTGATCCTTTAAACCTGCTTGACAGATCAGTTGTGATTCTATAAAACTGCTTGACAGATCAGCTGTGATCCTTTAAACCTGCTTGACAGATCAGCCGTCCCCTTTAAAACTGCTTGACAGATCAGTTGTGATTCTATAAAACTGCTTGACAGATCAGCTGTGATCCTTTAAACCTGCTTGACAGATCAGCCGTGCTCCTTTAAAACTGCTTGACAAATCAGCTGTGATCATTTAATACTGCTTGAAAATGTGGTTCTATAAAGCTGCTCCACAGATCAATCATGCTTGTTTTAAGCTGTTTCTTTAGGCTTTAATAGTTTAATAAGATTTGATTTTCACGTTTTAGTTTTCTGTGAAATTTAGTTTCTAGTGGTTTTTATTTATCAAATATAAAATTTTCAGTGCTTTTTGCTTGTGTAAAATTCTTTCCATGTGTTCTGTTAACAGGTTGGTAAAGTCCACAATGATAGAGCTCTGCTTGAGAAAATGTCAAGTCATAATATATGTTGAAACATTTGATATTTTATCTAGCTTCCTAAGGCTAAGCCTCCTACGAGATGGGAACAGTACGCTAAGAAGAAGGGCATTCAAAAAAGGAAAAAGGAAAAACTTGTGTGGGATGAGACAGTACAGGTAAGTTTCAAATGTGTCATTTGATTCATTATTCTTGAATTATAAATTTAATACTGTTAGTTTATAAGATTTTGAGACAATATTGTCATGAAAGTTCCATATTAGGAACATAACTAATAGACTTGTTTAATGGTAATTTATATATATGTGTGTGTGTGTGCCATATCTACAAGACAAATAAATGTTAGTTGGTATAAACTGATTTTTTTTTTCGAAGACATAGGGATATGATCATTAATGGTTGCTTTATTTTATTAACAAATCAGTTTTTTAACATTTTTACTACAGGTGAGTGGATGCCACCCAGCCCTATGCCCCAAAGTAACCATAAAGCAGTTATACTGTAACTTTTTAAAATGTATATGCACCTTCATGAAATTTTGTATATTATCAGTTAATATTACAAGGCTTTTGTTCACAAAATATCAAATTTGTTAATTAATGATTTACTCTTTCATTTTTACTTTTTGAATGAGGCCCGGCATGGCCAGGTGGTTAGGGCATTTGACTCGGAAGCTGAGGGTCGCGGGTT